AGCTGCGCCTCTATGTGCGAGACCCAGCACATGCATTTGGTTGCGCACTTTGGATACTTGAGTTTGCACCTGTAGCTGGATTCGAAGCGCAGCTTCAGTGCACCCAGGTCACGAACAGGAATGCACGCCTCAGGACAGAGGAGAATGACTGATATCCGCCGGAGACTGGACATGCGAAAGTTGGCTGAGACGGGAAGCTCAAAAGTGCTTGAGAGTATCACATTGCAAGCCCATCCGCTGTCGTTCCTGGAGATTGCATCAAAATGCAGCCACCACTCCACAGCCCGCTTCAAGGCAGAACCCATCCGATTGAATCAGCCCTCACATGAGACATTGGCCTACAATGAGAGAAGGTGCCAAGTAGTCGCTGACAGGAAGTCTAAGCATCTGCATCTAGGCTCTAGGCGCCAACCCCTGACTTTGACACCTCATGGAAGTCCACGTCTCAGCTTCCGGCATGGCTGGCTGATTTCCTTCTCTCCTATGCGAGGAATGGCATACAAAATTCGTCCTTTGCCTTCCCTCCAGCATGGTGTACTCTCTCCCGAAGTTTGTGCTGACGCCTCAGGTGTTGCTTGCACTCGTGCCTTGCATTTCTGAGACAGCAAAGGCCAAGGCATTCTTTTCGACAACGACCGGCGACACGCTGAGGTGGGAAGTCTCTTCCCAGACTGCTACTTATACCGTGCCCCCCAGTGGCAGGGTGTAGGGTTGCTGAGTGAAAGCGACTGTCGCATAGTTCGAGTGCGCAAGGAACCATTTCGAGGAGCCAACAGATGCCATGATGGCAAGGCAAGGTGGCTTTCATGCTTCCAACTGCACCAACCTTGCCTTGGCAATCTTCGCTTCATGCAGTGGGACGAGTCCTGCAGCATGATGCATGGTGTAGCTGGCACATGCTTTAGGTAGCTGGCGAAGCAGAGCAAAGACTGTCAAGTCGTGACGGAAATTGCACACCCGAGCCCATTTGTTTGTGCGGAGGAGTTCGTCCTTCCAGTCTATCTTGCAGCCCACCAGATATCAACCTTCGGGGGTCTTGTCCTCAGCTCGAAGATGCGGAATCTGCTTGAGAGCTCGAAGGCTTACAACACTCAGGTTGACAGTGGCATGAGGCGCTCGATGTGTACATACCACTCACATTTCATCCAGCGCTCTCTGGATGCCTGGGGCACCTCTCTCGGAACAGAGCTTTCGTCTTTGATTTTCTCGGTGGGCTGCCTGGGTAACTTTTCTTCGATAAGGCCCCACCAATGAGCTGCGTGAGCTCTACAAGCAACAAGCACGTGGGGCAGGCCAGGAGCGTCGCAGCGGCTTGGAATGTGGGGAGCCAAATGAGCCAAATGTGCCGTGAACGCAGGAGCCAATGCCCCGAAGCCTCCCTTGAGCTCGGTCGAGACCTCAGTCTCGACAGTCGAAGCGCTTCCAGCCACCAGCGGTCGAAGGTCACCACGACCCGTTCCTCCTATCCTGCCTATGTTGGGCCCTAAGGGCCCTAGGGGCAGCTTGTCTCGCATGTACGGGAGAGTCTCCTCGATTTGCGAGGATCCCGAAGCGGCCAGCGCAGTGGCGGTCAAGAACCGGAAGCCAAGCGTGGCGATGGCCACAAGATGCCACGAGCGAGTTGTCAGGGTCGCAGAAAGAGAGCCGCTTAGGCCGTCCATGTGGACCCGGGAGCCAAATTCATGGAACACCAGTCCGTGCTGCATCGCGACTTCTCCCGATTCGATCGACAGCAGCTGCCACGTGCTCAACCAGCGCTCAACTGCTGCAGGCCCCGTAGCGTCACAAGCGCGGCTGAGGAGGAGGTGCCAGATGCAAGCCGCGCCGCCACCCCGCGAGGCGAAGCTGCCCGGCCCTCGGCCCCCCTGGGAGGCATGCATCCATTTAACAACGAAACAAAAGATGAACGAGAATTCAGAGCATGCAGATTTTTGCTCTTTGCCGCCTCTAAGGGCCCCGCCCCTGTGCCCAGACCAAGCCAGCCGCTTCGAAGGCAAGGACAACATGATATGGCAACACGTGGAGTGTGGTTTTTCCTGCCCGGCAGGTCTGACCCAATACCAGCGAGATTACGCGAGGAGATGAGGGCGAGGCTGAGACAGTGCCGCGCGCATTCCATCCTGATTCCTTGATGGTCGGCTGTGTCAGCACTGTCATACTGCAGCTGTATCTGCGCAGCAGCCGCGCCACGTCTTCGGAACTGGCATCTGGATCAGAAAGCTTGGTCTTAAAAGAAGCTTACCACCCAGTGTCACACAGTTTCTGCACGATATGTTTGCGAGGCCGCGTGGGGCCTTGTTCAATTCAAGGTTACAGAGTGCCGCTTTCCTGCTGGGTGAGACGTCCAAGACAGTTCAACCCAGCTGTGCCACTACTGGTTGCTGCGCGCACGCAACTCGGAAACACTTGCGAATGTGAGATCTCTACCGTAGATTCTCCGTAGACCAGATGGGCTGGATGAAGTTTTTCAGGAGTTCCTTCGTTGTCGAATTGGGGATGGGGGGAGGTGCTCGAAGTTGGCGTCTCAGTGTTTCAGTTTCGAGAGATGAGTTCGAGAGAATCGGAGCGTTTGGTCGCTTCTCCGTCCCGGGCTCGGGGATCAAAGTGCCTTGAAGTGGCCTTGCCAGCAAATGCGTAGAGAGATGCCACCTGCCGACAAAAGCCAATCAATCACCTTGCAGCTAGCTACAACCGGCTACTTGCACCTATCTCAATATCATCCTGCTGCCCGACTTGCGGATTTGCGCCTGATGTGCAGATGGCCTCGCCCGTGGAGCGCAGGAACGCTGAGGGCGAATCCTGAAGCCACGTAGACCTATCCGTTGCAAGGACGAAGGGATCCAACAAACTGGGCCCTTTCAGCGACTTCCTAGACCCACGCGTTGGAGCTCTCGCCGCTGGGATGCTCTAGACAGCGCTGGGCTGAGTGACAAATATGATGACATCTGTCCAGGCAGGCAGCCAGCTTGAAGATTCAAGCGATGGCGACGTGGAGCCTGGCGCAGCACCCCTTGCACCCCCTCTGCCACAAAGTCGTGCGGTCGGGCTCGAAGGATGTCCTCACGTAGAACCAGAGTCCTGCATAGTTGGACAGAGCCGACGACGGTAAGGTCAACGGCTTCGCTCAGAGGGCCGGACACGCGAAGCAAGGACCACCCCGACATGTGAAGAGGCGCTTGATCCCTGAGCTGAGCTGCACAGGAACAGAGAGTCACTGCGTGATTGACCGGATAGAGGCTTGCACATGCTTGCAACAGGGCTCCAGAGGTGCATTTTTTTGATTCAGATCCGCAGAAATCCGCCGAGGCCCTCGAGGCGGCCATGGAATCATTGCGAAAACAGCAGGCCTCTGCACCGGGCATCCGTGCTGCGTCTCGCTTCAGCTCTTCTTGGATGCTCGCCAGGCTGCCATGGAGCAGAGACACGAAGAGGGCGAGAGCATTCGTCGCGGTCAGTGAGAGTCCAAGAGCCGTGTGTGAAGTGCATGCTGGCAGAGTGCCGGAGTGCACGTCTCGCCATGGAACCCTGAGGTTTGACTGCTTGTCGCAGCGCGTCTTCGAGGCTGGGGCTGCAGACTTCGACTTTGGCTGGGGCAGCCTAGCAGCCTTGGCATTGGCAGGCAGAGAAGTCGCAGCGGCAGGTGCAGGAACGAACTGATGACGCAATCGAAAAGGCGCACTCCAGCCTGCAATATCCTGAATATCCTGCAAAGTGCGGTGACGAGCACGAGCGCAGGCGCAGGCTGCCTTTCAGAAGACAGCATCGGATATGGAGCAAGAGCGCTCCAACCTGATGTGTGTGATCAACCAGGCAGGATGGGACTGTTGACTCTAGGTCCTTTAGGAGTGCCTTGTCCTAGCATCGTCGCCCTGAGGTGAACCAGAACTTCGAGCACCTGTCGCGGGAGATGTCGCAGCTCATGGATGTCGTGAGCAGAGGACAACAGGCCCGCGGAAGCCGAAGACATCCGCAGACTGCAGATATCTGCAGACATCTGCAGACTCGACTGACTCGACTGCGCGACTGCGCTTTGCCAGCGACACTCTGAGCCCAGGAGCTGCTTCACGTGCAGCAGGCCCGGACCAGCCGGAGCAGAGGAAGGCCGAAGCTCCCCGTGCCAAGGAGGTGGTCGATCTGCGGGAGCACAAGGGCAACATGGATACCGAGATGTCCGTCTGTGTCCAGAAGTTCGACCGCAAGCTTGAGGCTTGTAGCTGCTTGTTATCGAGATTCGACGTTAAACCTGCCAGTATTTCCGGCAATCGAATCCATCACCACGATCAGTGCAGCAAGCATTACTGCATTGCGAAGAGATGCGTGTTCTTTCACCTTGATAGAAATCCGTCAGAAGGAGCTGCAAGCTCATCACCGGTTGGAGGCGAGCCAATTCCAGCCCGCGGCCGAGACCGTCTGCACTCTCGCCTTTTTCTGCCGTTCCACGAGAGCTGGTCATGGGGAAAGGCACTGCATCAACATGCAGATCCTGGAGATCCAGCGCCAGCTGCGGCCCTGGCCTCAGAGACAAGTTTCGGCGTTGTCATGGGCCGGGCAACGCTTGTGCATCCCGATTTTGCTTTTCCTTCGGGGGGCCAAGTTTCCTTCATGCTCCGATCAGTTTTGCGGTTGCGGGTCGTCACAGCCTCCGTACCGCATTTTTTGCCCATCCTGGCTGCTGAATCTTTGCCCAAGCGTCTCGCCTCTGGCATTGGTGGACACGCGATAAAGTCAGGAAGCGGGATTCCTTCAAAACATACTTATATCGTCGTTCTCGAACCGGGGGTTGATTTTTTTCACATGTCTGAGGCTTCTCGAAATGCTGCTTCGAGAGGCTTGAGGCTCAGGCGAGCCCAGCATGGCCCTTCTGCCGCTTTGTGGTACCAAGGAGGACGCCCTGCGAGGCGGTGACCTTTCTGGGTCCGTGAATCCACGAAGGCAGCGTTGTGGTGGTTTTTGTAGCTGTCTAGCTTTCCAGAAGTGCCCCGAAGAGGTCCGTTGAATGAGAGCGGTCAGAATTTTTGCGCTGATGATCGGTGTCGTCATCTTATTCAGCGATCCTTAGCCAGGTGGCTCTCGCAGGGTCCAGAAGCCGATTCGCTACCGGCAACCACTGTCGGGGGAGGAGGCGATTAGTGTCCTGTGCTGGTTGGAAATCGGAAAAGCGTCGGTTGAATGTTGTGCCTGCTGAATCAGGCTTCCGTGTGCACTGACACAGCGCCAACTTGAATAGCATCTGCTGCCAGTGTCTATCGATGCAAGCCATGGAACAAGAAAGCAGTGCGCTAACGACCGCCCACAAGCACTTCTTCACGAAGGTCGAACAGAAGTTCAAACAGTGGCAGACATTTTTTCACTCAGATCAGTGTCTCACCCTGGAGCAGACATCTGTGACCGGTTACACTCGCTTTCCAAGCCTGCTCGAGTGGCTCCCGCAGAGGCTTTCGGAGATGGCTCGCTTGTGGCTCCACGACTGGGCTCAAGACTGACCAAAATCACAAGATATCACAGAAACAGGTGCCATGAATTCCGGAGAATATTGGCTTCGTTACTGCCAGCGACTTTGGTTCAGGACCTGGAGCCAACATGAAAAGCCTTCCTTGCACATCGAAGCCCCGCCCGAGTCAACAAAGCTTGGAAGCTTCCGGAGCATGGGCCTCAAGCGTCCCGCAGAAGATGTCGAAACAATCGATGTGCAAGAGGATGCCCAGGCCGAGAGAACGTGTGGAGGCCTCGGACTGCAAACGGAGCATGACGGAGCCTTTCAGGCCGTTCAGGCGCCGGCCGTCCAACTCCCTCCTCCGAAACCGCGGCCGGATAAGGAGCCGTTCTAATGTGAGGCGGCAAGCACCCTTCGTGCTGCGCCTGTGGCGAGGACAAAGCGTTGCGCTGGAGGTTCTCACCAGCTGCCGAGGCAACTAGCTGCAGCGGCATTGGGTGTATTCAGAGATTCTTTTTCCTGCTCATGCAATGCTCATTCATGTGCTAATGCATGTGGGGCAGGCCATTGATGACTCCTGCTGCTTCGCGAGAGTCCAGCCAGGCACTTGGCTTGAAGAAGCGCTGCCGCGCCACTCCAGTACCACTCCCCGCGAGGATCGATGGACTGGTTCGCCAATGTGACCAGAAGCGACAGAAGGACAGAGTGCCGCAGGAGTGGTTCTGCACGCAGCACTCAGGAAACCGCTGGAGCCTAGGCTGCAGAGGATTTTCAAGTTGGCCTCCGAGGCTTCTTGAGGGCTCCGTCTCGATTCTGTCCAATCTCCCAGGCAGATCCTGGGAAGAGTGGATGGAGACATCCCCAAGGCTCGGAGAGCTTGTTGCAGCCTCGCCTAGCCTCGCCGTGGTGAGACAGGCGCAGCTCGCACCGCTTCTTCAGAAGGCCAGCTTGCAAGTTCTGAGTGTGATGTTGCCAGGTGACGAGTTACTGACACGTGTTGTCGAACAGTGCCGACAGGCAGCGGAGCCCCGGGAAAGCCAAAGTCATCCACAGGCCGTGTCGTGGACAGCTCCTTTCCTGCCTTGGTCTTCTCTCACATTGACATATATCCAGTGCATGGGTACGAGTACAAGAAGCCCTACTCAACCTACTCTAAAGAGCTGGTCTAGCCATGCCATTCTGCGAGTGCTGAGAGGCCATTCCGAAAGGCGGCAGAAAGGTGCTGCCAAAGACTTGCCTGAAGGCTCTAGGGGGCCTCGAGGGGGTACCGGCTCAGGGCCTATTCCGCACGGCAAAGGCTGAAACTGAGCTCAGCGGAATTTCGTGACCCTCGTGTCCAACTCTGGCAGGCTCTGGGCTCCAAAGAGCTGTCTGGTCATCCCTGCCCGCTTTTTGAGCTTTGTTGTCCACCTCCTCTTTCCCTTGCCGCCAGACGTCACGCACCAGACCTTCGGGAATCCTGTGCAGGCAGGCCAAGAGTGTATCTAGCAGCAGCAGGCAGCGTGAGCGAATTCGGATGTGCTGGACAGGAGAGTGAGAAGCTGCAGACGGCTCCGTCGGATGAGGCGAGGGACTGTGACACATCGCCCAAGTGCCCAGAAGCCAGTCTTGCAGGTCATCGACTCCGTCCTGAAACAGCTGGAGGATGACCTGTGGCGGCTCGACAGCCATCAATCCCCAGTGTGCGGTCTATGGTAATTCTTCTGGCTGTGTTAACTCGTAAGGCACGAGGTGCAAAGAGTGAAGCAACTCGACGACAGCCAAGATGATGAGCATCGGAAACTGAGTTGAAAGTGTGGTTTTGGAGCCTGAACCGAGCGAGCCTGCGGTTTGCTGTCCAACTTGGTGCTTCCATTCAGACCTTGAAACCTTCGCAGCCTTGACAGCATCACAGGGCAGAGTTGCGAGCCAGAGCCAGCCAAGCAGCAAGTGTTATTGTCGCAAGACCGGCGAAGGGCCTGGGGCAGCTTCTAGCGACTTCCTGCCATGGGGCGACGAGAGCTATCTCGTGCCAGATGCGGTGTGAGCCCGAGCCGTCAAGATGATGCCCTGGAGCATGGACCCACGCCATCTCCGCGCTTAGGTATACCCTTGATGCTGTTGCTTGGAGCGGGGGTGCCAAGCCTGCAGAAGGAAGCACCGCACGCAGTCTCATGAGCCTTCATTACTGAGGCTGGGCTTGAGAACTATGTGGGCAGTCGTCTGTGGGGACAGCGAGGTGGCCTCAAGGCCCTCGGTTTTTGTTGGCTGCCAGAATCAGATTCCTTCGAGGCTTCTCACGGGCTGCTGTAGCAGAAAACGTGATTCAAACTGACTTGGAACACGTGCCGGGCCCTGTCTTTTTGACGAAAGCACCGGGGCCACTAGGGTGTCGAAGTTGCAGCCGAGGTGCTTCCGGTGGGCCCTGCTTGTCCGCTGCGCTCTGCGACCATGGCGCTCCCCTGTGCTCGCTGGCCTTGCAGCTGCCGAAGTGCTTCAGCAGTGCTTTGTCAAGCAGCTTGAGGTCCGGGGGAACTTTGAGAAAGAGATGGCCACGGTCATGATGATCGCTGCTGACAAAGCAGGTAACTTGGCTTTGAAGTCAGCCGTGACTGGAGAAGCCGCAGGGCAATGAGCGCAATAGATGCCTTCAGGGGCTCGCTGCACGCGCAAAGCTCTCTATCCGGATCTCCAGGTGACTTTGCCACTCTCGCCCAACAGATCGCAGCAGGCCTCCGCAGCGCGTCTTTTCCCGCTCCCCGGATGTCGAACATGGTGCAGGAGTGCGGCCTGATCCACGACAACAAAGAAAGGCAGGTTTTTTCAGTTCAATCTTGAATCGCCCAGCCCCTCGACCTTGTTGTGATGAGGTGGGAAACGATCTGAAGCTACAGGCCAGCCCATTCGAGCTGTAGCCCATCAGTCACCGATTTAAGCGAGTTTGCAGGGAGAGCGGCTGAAGACACTCCTGGACAACATGGAGACATCGGCTGACTTCCAGGTGGGAGATGAGAGCCGGCGCGAGGAATGTTGCGGGTGCTGGGCGAAGATGCGGGGAGGTGCTGGAGGCCTACTTTGTCATGGAGTTGCAGGCCCAAGAACGGGGGGCCCCTGGAGCACGTACGGCCTGAACCTCGGCAATTAGGTGCACACTGACAGGCTTTGCAACCACAACAACATGCTTTTTCTTACACTGGGAGGGGTTTGGGCTCAACCCAAGCAGCGTGCGCTCGTGTGGATTTGAGTTGAGAACTGCTAGCGTTGAGAACTTTGAGAACTTAATCGATCATACACACGATTAGGATGTAACTCTGCTTCATTCGGGGTGCTTCTACAAGCGGGAATCACCATCTCACAGCCCAGTTCCTCCAAAATAGTGCTTCGCCCGCGTGTAAGCGGGGCAACGCGCGGGAATCACCATTTTAACACTTCTATGGCACAACTCTTGCAAAGCGGTGACTCCCCCACGTGCCTCGCCCGCCCATGCGGGGGAATGAGCCGCCGGTTTTTGATGGTTTGGTGGGGTCGGGGAACTAGACTTCGGGCTTTGTATTCTCTTTGCATCCTGGACAGCGCTTTCAAGCTTCAAGTTGCCTCGCATTCCCCTCATTTCCTGATCTTCTGCAGCCATGGCACGCTTTGTGGTCGCAGTGATGCTGCTGGTGGCGCTCGCGCAGGGCTTTGCTGTCTCCTCTCTCTCTCTCTCTCGTTCGTCTCTCTTTCCTTCTCTTCTTTTTCTTTTGTCGCTCTCCGCGTGTCTGCGACTTCTGAGGGATGGGCGAAGCCCCCACCCGCCTCTCCCGCCCCACGCGGCGGAATCACTGTTTTGGAGGATTTAGTTGCGAAATGGTGACGTGCCCGCACCCCGCCCCAGCCGCCTCTCCCGCCACATGGAGGATTTAGGTTTTGAAAATGGCAAAGTGGTGATTCCCGCCCGTCCACCCCACCCTCCTCTCCCCGCATGTCCCCCCCGTCTCCTGCCACACGCGGGGCAGTCGCTATTTTGGAGGTTTAGGGTATGAAAATGGCAAAATGGTGATTCCCGCACTTCCTCCCCCCCCTCAACCCCCCAACGACCAGTTCAGAGGCATCCGCACCGAAAGACCAGCTGATGTGTGCTACTGATGCTGGTATGCTGCTGGTGTCCTGCTGCTGCTGCTGATGCCTTGTCGTGGTGAGGTGTTCATGCCTTGTCGTGGAGAGGTTTTCATGCCTCGTCGTGGTGAGGTTTTTATGCGCTGTCGTGGTAAAGTAGTTTTTCTGTTGTGGTGTCAATATTTCTTGTTATGGTGTGGATTCTTTTTTGCTGTCGTGGTCACAACGCGTTCTGCACTATGTGAGAATGAGAACCGGTCAAGATGCAGCTTGCTGGCAGCTTCTCCAGCCCTCCTTCACAGTGTGCTATGCAAGCGGGTCGTATCGTGAACAATCACAGCATTTCGCAGATGCGAGGTGGAGAAGATGACAAGTTGGCAGGCGAGGCTCAGGGGACATTGCAAGCTGCAGAAAACCAACATTAGCAATTTGCTTTTGCAAGGGCGCAGGCATCTTAGCAGAGGCCGATGGGATGATGGTACCGCCGCCCCCGGAAGGACGGGACTGAAAGCTTACAGCTCCTGTCCTGGGACTCGTGATGACGTGAAAGGTGTGGATCCCGTGGCGTTGTCGAGATCAGCGCCCGCCGGTTCCTGCCTCAGCTAAAGGCCAGGTCGTCAGCGCCAACCTTAGTTCGGCCACCCACAAGCCCGTTGCTGTCGCCCCAAGGTCCCGGCATGGTGAGGCGGACGGACGCAACCAAGTCAAGAGACGCCTTTCACATGTTCCTTCAGCTTGCAGGGACACCCTCGTGGGTGAGCATGCGACCGTGAACAGTGAAGACTAGGTAAGATCAGAGCCTCGAGCGCAGCACAGATACAAATATGAACGTTACTATGCCAGCATAGATATCTAATCTAAGCAGTGAAGTTTCGTAGAGCAAGTGCATCACGAGCACCCCGCACGCAACCCGCACGTGCCCTTCGTGCCCAGTGTTCCAAGTATTTGACTATCGCCGCGCTGCAGGGCCCTGCCGAGAAGCCTCAAGTGCATGGCAACGCTCGCCGCATGAGAGATCAACAACATGCTCGTAAATTGGCCAGCAGAACCAGGGTCCCACTCGGCAATTTTATGACCGGCACGAGTTCAGCAGGTAACCACCGTGAGACCACCAGCAAGCCACCTCAAGAGCAACAAGAAGCCACTAGCAGGCTACCAGGACACTACCAAGAACACCACCTCCATCATCGTTGTCCCATGTACAGGCGGGATTATCAGAATGCTTCCCCGCCTCTTTGAGAGCACCACCCTCAATATCGCTCGCCCCATGTCAATATACTGACGGGATTCACCGTCCTGCATGCACTGTTACCACAATGCTTCGCTACTTTGTTTGCGGGGCTTCGAGTGCTTTCACGGCCAAGTCGCTTGCCCCCATGAGCTGGCGGGAGAGACCCAATCGCGACTGTAAATATTGAGACATGACACTGTTCGGGGAAGAAATTCGCTCAGCAAACCTTGCACGACAACTTTTCTATCCAAGCATGCCCCAGGCACTGGGAACAGCACTCGCGGAGTCTTTGGCTCTTGAGCCTATGCTAAGAAGACAGATGAACTTGAGCGGTCTTGCTAGCCTAAAAAAAGCATCCTGTCCGTTTCCCTGCTCAGTCAGCCTCGGGCGCCCCGAGTGCTGCCGTTCACAGCTGCGGCCTGAGACAATAGTGTCAATAATCTTATTGATATTATTAATAGTGTCAGTAGTTGGAGTCTACCTGACCTTGTGCAGCAGGAAGAGAGCTTCACAGGAGTAGCTGGGACAGAGATGCTGGAGGCGGGTCTTGACTTGTCGAGAAAGAGACTTAGACGTTCTTGCACTCATGCCATGGGCTTTAGCTGTATCAGTCGGGATGACCTCCTTCGTCCCATGTGCACGACAGGCGGAGTATACAAAGCTGGTAGATGAGGCAGCCGTCCATGTAGCACTTCCACAAGCCTCCGTCACATTGCGAGCTGTGGGTTGAAGTCGTTTGTGCACCTGCCAGCATCGCGAGCTTGTGTCCTTCGGGGAGAAATATGCAGAGTTTGACCAAGCAGGAAAGGAGGCCGGCGCCATCCTTTCTAGTCTCACTGCCTTGTAGAACTTCGCGTGCCCAGTTCTACCTTGACCGGATGCTCGACATCACGTGACTGCCCCAAGCTGGCGCTTTCTGCAACAGCAAGGCTGCTCGTCGGGCTCAGTAAGTCTCCCAACTTTCTGTCTCCCCTCGGACGCCTCCTTTCCCGGAAGAGCGATGCAACTGTGTGCGCCTTCATGCTCTAGCTGCCGTTGTCAAGGCAGCGCTGGTGGGATGTCATGAGCGAAGCCAGGCGGGGAGAAGCTGGAAGCCACGGCGCACTCTCTGGCATTTTCGCCTGTTGCTACGAAAGTATTGAGACCTCGCAGAACGATTCAAGAAGCCCAACTGACAACACACCCTAAGGACATCGGAAATGGGTAGCTTCACGCGAAAGAACTCCCGGGCCAGGAAGTTCGGAATCAAACCGGTTCGCGCCTTCGAGGCTTACTCGCAGGCCTGGCAAAACAAGAACACGGCTGTTGTGAGCACTCGGCCCGGTATGGTATTCACATCGGAGGAATACCTGAGCCAATCGGGGCTTACTCCCCGAGGCTATCGAGACTTGGCCCGCGGCCAGAAAGCAGCGTAACCTGGTCCTCTGACTCATTGGGCCTTTCGAGGTGGATGGTGTGCATGCATACCTGCGGCAGAAGGCTCGTTTACTGGCTCGACCTGCATAGCAGAACTCTTCCCGGCTGGGAGGCTGGTTGAGGCTATGCGGCTTGAGCAAGACGTTCGGCACTTCATCAGGAAGGCATAGTTGCGGCTTGGCCCGTGTACATACTCTGGATGCGACAGCGGGGTCAACCTGTCCCTGCTATGTGCATCATCGTGCATCTTATGAGAACAAAATGGGAGGACGGTGTGTTGTCTTTTTGCACTTGGCATGATGGGCCGGCAGCATGGTGCTACTCGTTGTCTGCGCGCGTGCGTGCATGTGTGTCATGCGGAGTCATGCGGTTGATGCGTTGCCTCAAGCTGTGATACCTCCCACAGCATCGGCAGACGACTGCCAAGCTCAAGGCCCGCTGTCTGGAGAAACATCCACTCGCCTGGGAGCCGGCTCTCATCACGCTGTCAGGAACCATGGCTGCAGACATGGCGCAAGTGTTCGCCGTGCCGGCAGAGGCGGAGCACCGGACCCGAGAGATCTTGACTGTGTGACTGCGTTGCGTCAGGTTCTTCCCAGTCGTCGGCGCCCCAGCCTTCTGCCTGCCAGCCTTGAGCGGAGCGATCGGAGCGGCGGCAGCGGTTTTTTCAGGCCAAGTGGCCCAGAGACCCGCACCTTCGAGGCCGAGCCCTATGCAGCCCTCCGCTCTTTTGTGTTGCTTTCTCCCGCGCCATTTCATGGAGGCAAGCGGCCACGCCTGCCACGCCTGCAGCTGGTGAGGCCAATTCCGTATGCCGGGCAGCAGATCCTCTCGGGCCTGCGACTCCCTGCGACGGCTCGCAGGCATCCTCGAATGCCTGCTTCCGGCTCGCCGGGCTCAGTGCCGGTGCTGCAGCCGCATTTCCCTCGGCTTTTCTTTCGAAGGGGCTTCCGTCACGGTCGGGTCGGCGAGGGGAGAGGGTTGGTGTTGTCCCCCCTGTGCAAGGTACTAGTTGCCAGTCGCAGACAGAGGACCTCTGCGAGTTGTCTAGGAGCTTGTCAATGCGTGTTGAACCATGTGCTGCGTGATGGTTCATTTTGGCCTGTTTGTTGTTGCAGTGTCGTCTCTATTGTCCGGGTCGTACATTGAATCTGTTTGGCGAAGTATTCTGCAGCAAGATTCCGTGGCGAGCAGCTTGTTGGACAGCATTTTGTTGCTAGTGGTGCGCTGCCTCCATTGGGACTCGGAGGGTTCCAAGACGAAGCTGAAGGATGGTGAAGACCCAGAGCGGGCGCGACCACTCTGAAACTGTACAATTGCGCATGTGGCAATGCCTATGGCCTTGCCGAAGACCCAGCTGGTGTGGGCTCACTGCGAGCCGCTGAAGGTGTCAGGTGACAGGAAACTCAAACACGACTCCGTAGAGCCGGTGGCAACAATTTCATAAGTCTGTCTGTGTCTTTCTACTGTTGGGGTCTCATGCATGTGATGACCTTGTGGACTGGGAATAGGGGCTTCTCGCCTTTTTGCCCTGCGGAGTGCTTCAGGATCTCGACTCGAGCCAGGACGGTGCGAGAGGCCAAGGTGCCCCCGTGTAGTGATGAAACATCATGCCTTGTGAATGAGTTCAGATTCATTGAGTTTGAAAGACAGGGGTTATGAGGAAGTTAAGATGTGTTGGCTTCCGAAAATCTGCACATCTTCGGTTTAATGTGACAGGCGAGAAAAATCTTGTACAGGGAGGACGGCCGCAAAAATGCATCAGCCTCGGTGATGTTGAAGTGCAGCATTAGTGAGCTGGGGGCAGCCTACACTGTACTCGTGATGTCTCACATCATGCCTGGTTGACTTGCCTAGTTGATGCGTGGCATCGAGAAGCTCGCAGAGACAGTGGCAGTGACTCTCGGACCGAGAGGGCGGAACGTCCTCCTGGACAAGGCATCGATGCTGGGGGTGCGCAAGAGCCTGTCTGTTCTTGAGCCCTGCGTCGGGCATGATCCATCATGTTGTGCTGCGACATGCTTGGCTGCTCGTGCACTTGTGCAGGGTGAGTTCTCTGCGCCGCAGATCGTGAACGATGGCGTCAGTCTCGGCTTTCTCGGAGGCGACAGGTTTGCCCTGGCTTCTTGAAGTGTAGGTGTTACCATCGCCAAAGAAATCGAGCTGGAGGATCAGGCAGTTACAAAGTCTGCAAGCGTGGGATCCGTATGCATCCGTCATCCTGGCAGTGGACCAGGTGGAAAACACCGGCGTCCAGCTGATCAGGCAGGCATCAGCGAAGACGAACGACGTGGCGGGAGATGGTACCACGTCACCTAGCGTGCAAACAGGGGAGTTCTTATAGAGTCTCGCAGCGTCCTGTTAGTGCCGTTTTATTTGGTTGCGCGCCCCAGGACCGCCACCATCTTGGCTCATGCCATGGTGAAGAGTGGAATGAAACAGCTTGCCGCCGCCTCATTTCACCCACATCTGAGTGCCGACCATGTTTCGCGTGGGCGCAGAGGTCGGGGGAGCCAACCCTGTTCAGATCAAGTCCGGCATGGAGAAGGCATTTTCCACAACTCGACGTCAAGAGCCAGAGCCCAGCCGCACGAAAAAGGCTGCGGCGTACATTGTTGGGCAGATCGAAGACATGGCGTGGGCCTTGGATACCCTCAGAAGGTCGCGAGCATGGAGGTTCACCACCTAACTGCCTAGAGTACCACCAACCTCCGATGGGCTTTGCAGACCGCCCGCTGGCAAGGCCGCTCCCGTGAGTGACAAGGACATGGACAAGATCGAGCAAGCACTGCACTGAATTGTCTTCGGGCAGGCTCCCTTTTATAATGTGGTGGTGGTACGATGCAGGGGTAGTCCATGTATTCCGTCTTTCCACGATGCTATACTCCAGGTTTGCAGTTGTGCTCATGTCGATGTCAAAGGAAGATGCTTTTGGTCTTGTTCTCGTTCCTGCCGCCGCTGCTGCTGGAGGTAGTCGTGGATGATAGATTGACGAGCTTGCCAGCCACAGCCACTGATGTTGGCCTTTGCTACCGCCGCTGTCGGCGACGTTGCCGGTGCCGCTGGTGCTGCAGGTTCTTCTTTTCGGCTTTGCGCGACCGGAAGCCCGAATCCGGACCCGGAAGACCCAAACCTTCGTCGCCTAGGTGGCCGGATCCGCATGCGGACACGGGAGTTGTGCGTTGTGTTTTCTGGCACCTTCCCCCACAACTCTCGGAAGCTCTGAACTCAGTATCATGCAGCTGCACACCTCCTGCGAGTTACTCGCAGAAAGTGCGGAGCCTCATGATAACAGTTTTTGTTGCTCCTCCAAAACGGGCACGAGGTGGTGGAAAACATTATGATTTGCCAGCACAGGCGGCATGGTCTTTGGAAGTTTCTAGAAGGGAGGCCGATCTTGCTTTTATTGTGCCGGGCCCCCTTCAGACAAACCATGACAAACCCCTTTTGCATGCAGCCTGAGCCCCAAGTCTGCGGATGCCCTCCCTCAGTTTGGTCGCGCTTCCGTTCCGTTGTTGGTCCTATGCAGCTGTCATTCCATGTGCATGTGACGTGTTCCAGCTATGGAGAGCTGTCGCCTTGAGTCACGACTTGTAAGCATCTGTGCAGGAACCTCGGGGCCACCTGTAGGTTGAAGACTCTCTTTTGTTCGGTAGGCAAGGGGCTTGCCTGAAGCCATGCAGGAAGAGCTGCATGGCAGAGAGGGCCGGCTACACAGGAGGAGAAAGAACAGCGCCTCATGATGCAAAGCATCCATCGAGGCTTCGGATCCAGGTGCTGGGCGGTGTCGGTGACGGCTCCGAGGTCTCAGAGCATGGCAGGGAGCTCACGGAGAGTTAGCTCGACAGACACGAGGACTCCTGGGACTTGGGTGCGCGGCAAGCTCTTCTAGCCTTGCCAGGCTCGCACTTGAGCGGACGGTCGCAGCCACAAGCGAACAGCTTGGTGCGGCTGCGGTTACTGTGAAGGCCGAAGTGGCCGATGCCCTGGTCAGGAGTGCCTCAGAAGAGGAAGAAGAGCCTCAGGTCACGGCTGTAGTGCCGATGCCCATGATCGCTGTCCTGCCGAACGCAGAGATCGAATCGCTGCCGTTGACCACGGCAGCTGCGGGTTTTGCGGCGAACATAGTCGCCCAACACTTGACGCTGGAGACGTGACAGACTGCACAGTCCGTCGCGTCTCTCCAGTTCCTTTTCGTTGGGCGACTCTGTTCGCCACGAGACCTGCAGCTGCCGTGGTCAATGGATGGCAGCGTCTGGCTGGCAGCAGACCGTCAGTCGCCGAAGGGCCTATGGAAGTTGCGGGAGACGTACTGTACATTGCAGAGTGCCTCCCAACGATCGAAGAGCTCCTGAATGAAGCGCGACATGTATGCCCACCTGCAGGACAAGTGCTCCTGCCTGTCCGAACTGCACAAGTACGCTTTCCAGACTGTGAGCTCGAAGGATGACTGGGAACTTTGGGGATATCAGATGGTGGTCGACAAAAGCCCAAGGACCCCGACCCGTGGTTCACCTGGTGCCGAAGCCGCCCTGCTGGGAGGTTGCCCAAAAGAGCGGTTAAGAATTTTATATAAGGTGGCCATAATCATCTTCGGAGCACATTTTGTACTCTTTGGTATGAGGCGGGGCCCG